TTATTACACAACTCTTAAGGTTAGATTATTATAACACTCACTACTACTTATACACTTGAGTTTTACCAACATAGATACAAGTGTTTAATTAAATTACTTCTGAGGCTACAGCACTATAACACACTACTAATTATATACTTGAGGAACACAAACAGGTATACAAGTGTTTTATTACATAACTCTTAAGGTTAGATTATTATAACACTGACTACTACTCATATACTTGAGTTTTACCAACATAGATACAAGTGTTTAATTAAATTACTTCTGAGGCTACAGCACTATAATACACTACTATTATTACTCTTGAGATACACAAGCTGGTATACAAGTGTTTTATTACATAACCCTTAGTGTTACATTATTATAACACCCACTACCACTTATACACTTGAGGTACACAGCTTAAACATGACTTCATGCAAGTATTCAGTTCTGTTTCTACAAGATTTAGACAAAATATTTCCAGTTAAAACCACACAAGTGTTTTGTATTAGTAGCTTAGAGCAGTGGTTCTTAACCTTTTTGAATTCATGGATCTCTTCTGATGTTAAATTTTGTCAGAAAACCCTTCAAAGCATTCATTACAAAAACATTACTGCAATACTATATATATATAATTCCAGACAGAGTATGTATGTTTAATGCAGCTATATACCCACACACATATACATCCAAAGCATGAACATTTTCTCAAGCCAATTCCTCGGGCACACACAAAAAGAAGTGTGCTCTCTCAAATAATAAAAGTTTACATGACTCAAGCACCCATTTGTACCTAGTCTCACTTACTAATTTAAACAATGCAGTGATTTATGTTGTGTCATTACACAAATAAAGAAATATGCTGTAGTCAGATTGCAATTATGTGACTAACGTATATACGCATTAAAATACACAGAATTCTTCCATTCCACAGTACTCTGCGGAACACCTAGATGTCTTCCGAGGAAACCCAATTAAGAAGCACTATCTTAGAGTACTAGTTAACTAGACTGTCCACCTGCTACAACCCAAATATACTAATTACTAGTACAAAGACTTCATCCACAGCACTGAAACACTAGAGACAGCAGCCAAGCAAGTTTATCTCTTCCAATACTATAGCACATGTAACAGAACATGTACAAATCCTTGTTTAACTGCTACTATAAGAATATCTTAGGTACTATTATTTTGGAAGTAACACAGAACTACAGTAGCTTGACTGCTACACTAACAGTACACTAGTAACACCAACAATTAAACAATCTGATAAGTATTGAAATATTTAAAGTTTCACTCTCTTGTCCCAATTGCTACTAATACCAAAATAGGGTGGTTTTTACTTTAAAACATAAGATAATTATTCTTGTTGCCAGAACGTAATAACTTACATCTTTCTTTGAAAATCACTAAAAATAAGTGTTGATTCATGGGATCTAATTTCTTCCATGCTTTAAAACAGTTAAAAAAACAATGTTCATGCAATATAAACACAGACACTCAAAAGTCAAGAGAAAATGCATGAGAACTTTATAAAGATAGTACTAATAATTCTAAAAAAGTTAGTATATTATTTACATTTGAAAGCTTAGTTGATTTATGTCAAAATAAACTAAAGAAAAAGTAATTAAATTAGTATATCAGAGATGCAATACTGACATTTCTTTCCAACTGATCAAAATAATCTTTCCAACAATCATTTTCTCAAAAGATAAATTCTGACATCATCCAAACATTTATGAAAAGATTTTTTGAGACCCACTACTAGAATGAAAAATGTATTAATGTTTACTTGATTCTATTCAGGTTGTCTCATATTCATTCACAAGAATAACATGAAAACTAATTTACAGTTTTGTGTGTTGATCACTCTCCTCTTGTTCTTCTGGTTGTTGATTAAGAATGTCTTCATTTCCTGAGTATGACTCTCCACCATCTTTGACAGTTGCATTAGAAACGGTTTCTTCATTACAGTCCTCAGACAGAGGTTTTACTTTAGCTTCCAGTTGTGCAATACACTGCTGAACATCTTTAATAACAGCTCTTCTGGCTTTCCGAACCTCTTCATCTCCAAGAGTGATGACATCATCAAGCTTTAGCATACACCTTGTCAACATCTCATCTAAGTATCCATACTTTTTCTGTCTATTGATGGTAGATCCATCAAATGCTGTTACTTCAATTTTAAGTCTATCAAGTTCACTTCTTATAGCAGCTATTTGCTGAAAGGGGTCTAGTTGTTGGGATTCTGAGGGTCCATCACAACTGTCACTTATTGTACTTGAATTTTGCTGTTGGGTACTACAAGGCAAATCACTATTATGTCCTTGATAATGAGATGATCCACCATTAATATTTATTCTTGTTACATGACAACCTTTACTGGAGAAATTGTTACCAGAATGTGGTTCCTCGGCCCTGAGAGAAGAACAAGGATCTTGGTGATTGACAAGCAATTGAGGAGAATCCTCTTGAGTCTTTGGGAAATCTTCTTGTGTTTCCTTTTTGATTGGTACATAAAAAACTTTTGTTGTTGATGTATGTGGACTCTCTGAATCACAATTACCTCGAGCTGGACAATTTTGACTAGCAGAGTCTTGTCTATTGGACAAAGAATGCCATGTACTACCTTGACTGCCACTAGATGAGCTGCGGTTTTCAAAGTTCTGCCTCAGCTGCTTTATACTTGGACTACCCCAGTCCTCTCCTTCAGAAGGGTGCTGTTGGTGTGATCTGGTTTTTGCTTCTTCACTAGTACCATCAGAAGCATATCCTGAACTTGTAGAGCCATCCCGAGGCTCCACAAGTATGGGAATATGGTAAATGCGTGGTTCAAGAGGTCTTCTTTGGGATTGTCCAGGCTGAGCATCACTGCCTTGAGATGATGTCTCTGACTCTGAAGTACACACATACTCACCACTTGTTTTCATAGGAGCACCCTTTTGGTGAATTACCTTAATCGGTATTTCCTCTTCATCACAATTCCAGTTACTAAAGGATGATCCTACTTTGCGACAAATGTTTGGACTACTAGAGTTGGATTCTGATGGGGAGTTACTTCCATCACCATGCCCATGCTATAAACAGAAAATATTACGATAATATGTAATACCTACTGAAAATAATTATGTTGGAAGATACAAATTTAAGAATTAATATTCTGTAAGAAAACTTAGAAAAGTACAATTGAAAAAGCATATAATATCACACATTTTGGATAAAACTGTCAATAAATTCATACTTTAATTACAAGTTTTTATTATCATACACATCAGCTATAAAATTAATTGTTTCATTACCTCATGTACTTGTAAAAAATACTTATTTAATTTCTTGACTTCAATAAAACATTTTATTTTGAAATGATACAACCATTAACTCTGAAAAATCTCCTTAAATAAATATTACTATTTTTCACATTTCATTTCTGAAGTACAACTAAACTAGTTAGACTACAAATACAAATTTTGCTTGACACTTGTAGTTCAAGGAGACAAATAGTAACCACACATAATTTTTTCATGAAAAGTCATCATGAAAGAACAATTTTTTTAATTAACTGTAAAATAACCTGGGTGCAACAATTCAATACAACTGTTATATGGTTTGTTTTATTGCATTACTTAATTTATTTTTTTTAATATGGGATTTATATAATATCTCAGCTTTGAAAAATTAAAACAATTTCACTGTGATATGTTCTTAATGAAAAAATTAAAAACTTCATTATTGTAGATTTCAATTACAGATTTCTATGCCTTCCTCAATTCTTTGAAAACTTTAATCTTTGTTTTGTTTCAAAAAACTACACACAGTTTTACTGTGTTTATGATCACTGACATAAAAAAATAACCTTTTTATCATAATAAAATAAACATGCTGACACTAATAATGTGACTGATAATAAGAATACCTTGTAACTTATTTTATGCTTGAAGGTCCATTTGTATTTTCAAATCAAACTATTAGTGTTATTATGTTTTTGTTTAATTATTATTATGGTTAATTAATCAATAACTTTATGTTAAAAACGATTATGGCTATTAATTTGCTTGGAATGGTGACTGTCAAATATTTGTTCTGCTTGCTGCAGATCGTACAAAAAAGCTTACTGTATGTAGCTATGAGCATTGTATGTAGCATCAAATGTGTGTAAATTATATATTTTTTCTATCCCATTTCAGCTGTTTTGAATTTTAAATTTTGTAAAGTGTGGGATACCTCCAACATTTATATTTAAAATGCAATTCAGTCTAAACATACTTACCAAAACAGAAAGACTAATGTTTTTTATTCAAGCATGATTGATGTTTTCACATATTTTCACTCAAATGTTCTAATAATTACATTTTCAAACTTTTATGCAAGAAGTTGGTTTCTTTACTGTAGCTAGAAGTTATATCTAAGATAAGTAATTTAGATCACCTACTCTGGAAATTATACTGGCAAAGTGCTGTACATTCGATCTTGATTTCTATCAGCCATTACTTATATTGCTGTTCTGGCTCATTTTCCTTTATACAATTTTATGTGCTAGAGTATACTTTAACACCATATTATCAATACTTGCCTGTTTCCCCAGAGAGGCTGTATAGACAGTAGATTTAATATATATATATATATATATGTTACTTGTCAAGTTATTTAGGTAGAGGACTTGCACTATATTCAGAGGTCATGTTAATGCAAAATTCTGCATAACATACAAAGGGAATATCAATACAACAAAATAACAGCACTTTATATCAATGTATATCAATAAACCTGGCATCAAAGCACAATTAATACAAATTATAATACAAGTTTTAATTTCTTAATCTCAAAGAGAAATGTTTAAATAAATTCTCATCATTTTCTTGTCTATCTTGTAACACTCATCCCTATATGTAGTTTAACAGAAACTACACATTTATAGTACAGATAGTGCTGAGACAGTCTAATTTTATAGCATCTGATTTTCTTGGTTTATGGAAATATCACATCCTGTCTTTCATAAATTGTCAGTAATTCTTTCCAACATTGAATCTTTAACTATTTATAACCCACAGAAAGATTTTGATTTACTGATTTCTGTATAAGACTACCGACAACAAACAACAATGTTTGAATTATTTGGTCTACAAGTTCACATGAATCAGGTAGGTGAATTATTTTAAGGCACTTATATTTCAGTTAAAAAGGAAATTAAATTATAATAGATAGGGCACTGTATACTCTATGTGTGTTATTTTATCTACTACTACCACTGTTACAAAAAAATAGCATTAAGTTTTGTTAGTGGCAAAAACAAACAAACAAGAGCCTAGATGTAAGTACTCAATCTTGTTTTTTTATGTATATTTTTTCTATATTGTTATATAAGTAGCTCAAGCAAAAAACTAGAAACTTAGTACGTTATACAAGATAACATGAGACTGTTTATAGAAATAAATCTAAATTTATTTCTAGTTCAGTAAAAACAATTACTAAACAACTAGCCATTTTATTAAATAAATTACATAACATTCTATATAATAAAATTAAAAAATAAATAGTAATAATAAGAAACTTTTAGGATAATAAAAATTTATGAGTCAGAAAAACATTGAGGACTTTGAATTAAGGTAAACAATTTGTGGAGCTTTATATTTTATCATTTACAAGTTTTAAGTATTGTTTATGGATTTTACATAATTTATAATAATTAATAAACTTTATAAAAGTATTTTTTATTGGTATTTATGTCTCTCTCTCTCTCTCTTTAAAGAAAAATTTGGAAATACTTTGAATCTTATTTAAATAGCTTGTTGATTTCTTATGCTTTTTTTAAGTTATGTTTTATTTACAAGTTTTAATTATTTATGTTTTATAATTTAATTTTTTTTTACTGTTTTTGGATTTATATTATTTTTAGTGTATTTTTACTGGGATGTATATGGTTTTTGTTTTTTATATATGTTCATATAAAAATAATGTAGTATTGTTAATTAGGTTGGCTGAAGAGCAATCTTAATGATACACAGTACTACCAACCCAAAACCAGAATAAACAAATGATAATTCAAACCAGGTGGTGCTTTAAATATATTAAATACACTATAGAAGTTTACATCTATTTAATGTATACATTTGACATATTGGATATATATATATATATAATAACATAACCAAAACAGACACCATTAAAGAACAATTTTATAATGAGAAAATAACTACATACTAATTTAATGCAAAAAACTATTAGGTAAGATCAAACTAATAAATCATTCTCAACGTGTTTTTAAGAGAATTTCTTGCCTTACTAGTACACTTTGTCATTTTCTTATAGTTTAGTCAGAGAAACAATGGTAATTATTATAAATGAAATTTCATTTAATTTTAAATATGTTAATAGCTTGTTCTTCTAAGGCATAGTATTTTGTGCAAGTTGCAGAACATTACTTTTTTTTTTATTAAACCCAAATTTTTTAAATTTGTATAAGCTTTAGAAGAACAAGTTGTTAACATTATAAATAAAATTCCCAATAAATATTACATTGTTTTCTTACAAACATATTGTTGTTACTCTAAATCATTTATACAGTTTATCATCATGGATGTTATCAAAAGGTTTTCACAGAATCACACACTTCCTTGACATTCAACCTCTTATTCACAATAACATTTTGAAATTTTTCCACAACTTCACAAACATAACTGAACCAGCAGAAAATAATTAAGGTACCAAAAATCTACTATCAGTGACCTTATTTTACTCAATCTTAACTACAATGAATCAACATGTTAACAAAATAAACTGAGCAGTTTCGAAACCCCCGAATGTACAAAATAAGAGCTAAAGGTCTCAAGTATTGAAGTAGGCAACTCTCCAAATAATTCACATAATAGTACAAAAAAATTAACAAAATAATATTGATTCTCCCTAAAATTTGGTTTAACCAACAGTTTTTAGTTTCACCAACGTCAATGTTTTTTTTTAATCGATGGTTACCTACCAAATATACAAAACTGAATAAACCTTACCTCTACCCTCTATAAAACTTAAGTAATTCTTCAATAAAATTCCGTTCAATTCACAAAAGCTCAAAGTCAAACACTAACACCATCAAACCAAGTTGTAACCTATCTTGTAAGCTGTTCTTGTAGTTGTATAATCAATCCTTTATCAATTAATGAACCTTTCCGGTTTCTATAAGTAATTCTAAACTTAAAAGGCACGCGCAAACAAAGTATCTTATATTTTGACTTTAACTTTATGTGTAAAACAATCAGTAAAAACCATTCTCAATAAATCAAAGTATTTTAGGAATAATAAAAATTCTCACCCCAAACCCTCCGTGATGAAATCTTCCATGCCAGTCAGGCCATTCTGGACTTAATTGGGTTGCTTCACAAAACATACCACGATCTTCTTCGGGTCGAAAACCAAAACGTTTGAGAAATTCTGACCTACGTTCAGCTTGATTAGTGTCCGAAAATTGAAAAGGAAATTTTCGTTGCTCCATATTTATCCTTTAATTTCGTAACTCAATACTACACCTACCCTTCCCAGTAAAAACGTAATTCTTTCTGGAACGTCATCCTCTCTGACCAATCAAATGTTTTTCAATTATATAGGGTGGGTGAAGTAGGTGTCGCTTTTTAGTAAATTTAAAACGAACAATCTTATGATGTTTTGAATCGTACAAATAAATTATAATGAAGATATGTACAAGACGGATTATATAAATTATTAGGTTTTGTTTGTTCGTTTGTAGTTAAGCACAAAACTAGACAATGGGCTATCTGTGATCTGCCTATCACAGGTATCGAAATCCGGTTTGTAGCGTTTAAGTCCGCAGACATCCGTTGTGCCACTAAGGGGCCAAATTGCAAAGAATAACGCTCATGATTTGTTGTTTGTGCGATACTGATATGTTTTGGTCATAAACTTTAATAATAAATAATATTATAAATGGACTAAAAGAAGAAACAGTAAACTGTCCAAGAACAATAGCATAGTATGGCATTTTTATACGATACATGATCAAATTAAAATAATATTTCACAAATCGGAATAAAATTTATACGATTTCTGGAGCGTGGGAAGTCACTATTTAATTACACAATTATAATTCAATTTTTTTTTCGTAAATAGGTTATTTGTACCCTAAACTTTTCCCTGCCCCAGTGGGGTGGTGTACTTTTTCACAAATGTTCTGTGATAATGAAGGCTTATTATTTTACAGTAAACTTTTTCACAGCATCAGCTTGTGAAGTGTCCATATTCCTTTATCATCCCTCAAACACGTCTCTTTCTCGTTTATTCTTTATGGAATGAGGAATCTACACAATAACGAAAATAGTCTTCTTACCTGTTTAATTTTTATGAAATTATAACGTATATAAGAATGAAAACAGTCTCTTTACTTAATTCAAATATACATCAACTTTTACACTAGTCACGTTCTGATTTTAATAATTACAACATTTTGATATATAGTATTTAGTCATTATCAGGTAAGAGTTACGTGATATGATGACTCAATACCATGGATCGAATGTTGTAACTATTAAAACCAAAACTTGACTACTGTAAAAGTTGTTGTATTGTATTTTTGAATTAAATATTCGGTTCAGTAAGTTATTCATTAAACGATCTCTTTACTAGTTTATTCTTTACGGAATGAGGATGTAGAGAAGAATGAAAACAGTTTCTTCACATATTTTTTATGTAATGAAGTTGCAGAGAAGAATGAAAATAATTAATTACATTTCTCATAAGACGTTAAGTTAGGCCTATTATATTTTTAAAACTACATTTCTAATCTATCCTCTTACGGATTTTCGAGAATTAGAAGAGTGTATAATAATATTATTTCAACCATACTATATCGTCGAATCCACTACCTATGACGCGTTTCGCTCAAACCAGAGCTCTTCATGCCGGCTGGGATATAACCAATATAGCAGTGGCCGGGAAAATATTAACATAAGCCATTTGTGACAACAATCGTTTCGGTGTGGACGTCTTTTAGAAGCTGGCGAAGTATGACATTATTAATTATATTTGTCATAAGACACGTTGTATCCTAGCCGGCCTGAAGAGCTTTACATTCCTAATCTAGTCCCTCACAAATTTTCCTGTTAAAAATATAACAGGCCTAACATAATTTCTTATGAAAAATTAATTAACTATATCTTGCTTCGGCAGCTTCTAAAATGGGTACACACCATAAGAACAGAAACAGTTTCTATACTTGTTCCTTCTTTGTGAAATGAGGATGCTAACAAAAATGAGAATAACATTTTCCTTACCTAAAAATGTATTTGAGATAGATATTTCTCTCTGCACAACAAACAGCTATTATTAGAGTATGCCACACACCTTGAATGATGCTCCCACATCTGCACATGTTCATCATCATCATCATAGACAGCAGTACATCGATAATTCTACCGATGCTTAGCTGTCACACAATCATGAATTATTATTACAAGAAAATGGGGACAAAAGTGGGATCTAATACGCCATGAATACGGAAATGGTGGATCACATACAGGCAGGGGCACAGCATCTAAGCCATGCATACACAATGGACTCGCCCAGAGGACGCTGATGTCGCAAAGCCGCAAGGAAGCCACTGCCACGCACATGTTAATGTGTAGTGTGCCAGCCTATTATGTAATTATTATTAGACTATAGCCCTCCAACAACAGGAGGGCAAAACATCCCCCATACACATTAATCCCCATGTGAGTTAGCGTTAGAACAAAAATTCATTCTTGATAAGGCAAACAAATTCACCTGAAGTGGGAAGGAAGGGGTGGTGGTGGATGGTGTAGAGAGGTATCTATCTGAAATATATTTTCAGGTAAGGAAAATGTTAACTTTAGAAATGCTACTCACCTCTCTGTATAACTAACAACTAGAATCACACACTGAAAATGGTGGAAGGGCTAGTGCAGATAAAGAAATTACAGATGAGCTCCTTTCTGAAAACATAGCTTCAGAAAGGGAAAGCCACCGGAACTTGTCATCCACTAGGGGTAATCTAGTCGGCATCACTCGGTAGAATACCATATATATTGCAGAGGTGGGCAGAATGTAAGATTGCTCAACTGGCCATTATCTTACATGGAGCCAGTTGAGCACTAGTATGTAGTGTGGCTAGGGTTATAAGTCAGGCTGTTCTGTATTGGATAAATGTTTATTACAATAATCAGGTGCAGGAAGAAATACCCCAAACCTCTTCTGGCTGAACTAACTGCTGAGAATGACTTGGTTCATAATATATAGTGGTGACCTGTACTACACTTCGAGGAACATGCTAGCCTTATTTTCCATCACAGAGTATGTTTACTCAGTCTTATACCAGTGGGATTACGCCATCCCAATGAGAAACTCTTTCATAACAATCTCACTGTATACTTGGGACTGGAGAACCACGAATTCTTCCTTTGTTCCACGTGAAGAAAAGTGGAGAGAGAAATTTGTGTGGGACAGAGAATACTAGAGATGCTTGGGCAGAACAGGAAACATCACATCTGTACAGTCCCATACTGATAGACTGTGCAATGGGTTACTGTGACTAAATATAGCTGGTGCTAGCAGGTGCACAGAAAGTTGCACACCTGGTGTTCTTTTTTCATATTTTTCAAATGCTGAATGGAATGGCAGGGATTTTTCCTCAAATCTTGGGAAGGAAGGAAGATCAACTTATTCCTATGGTAAATAATGCAGAAGGAGGTCAAGAAAAAAGTGAGAACGACGACTTCCACGTATGAGAAGGTGAAGAAATATATGTGATGCATATAAAAGGAGGATAAGCCACACCATAGCAGGGAGAATGGAGAAGCCACTCTGTGGGTAGGATCCAGGCTTAGGTGAGATAGTCAATTTGCCACCAAGGCCTGAAATCGTAAGACATGATAGACTGAAATTAAATGTTATTGTTGTGGGCTCAACAGAGTATCCTCAGAGAGAGTAAAACAGGTCCTAGGAGTAAGTGCCTCCTTGTTGGGGGATGAAACAAACAACACAAAACGTGTCTGAATGGATAATAAGAGCAGACAGAAGTGACGACAAGCCTGTGGAGCAGCCATAGAGAAAACTTTCTTCTAAAGACCAGATAGAAGAAATGGATCAGGAATCCAGAACTCATCACTTGAACAGAGACACTGGTGGAAAGATTTGTTTGGAATATTGGTTGTAATCAAGTACAATACAATGTACCATCTGAGCTGTGCTCACAAAGGATATGGAAAGTCCACACATGTAAGTGGAATGAACCCACAGACTTATTTCTGAGCCCTGAAGGGCTCCAAACAGACGTAACTATGGGTAATGCAGAGGACGAGGAATGTCCAGGGTAGTTTGAGATCAAGTGAGCCACCTTGACTTAAAGAAGGGAAAGTAGACAGAAGATCTCTGAATATACCTATATCGGCAGGCCAGAAACCACTGAAGGGGACATATGTGAGTACAACCAAAAAGGAGCTCAAAAGAAAAGAAAGTCCCCTCAAAAAAGAGACAACTCCATTCATGAAGGAAATGAAGACATGGGAGCCTTAGTGTCAAAAGCTGTCTGTTTCAAAAAGATAAAAAAAAGAAGACAGTGCTTGTCCCACATACAAAGTGAGAAAGACCCTAAATGAATGAGATACATGGTTGGGTTGAGACTGCATTGGACAGCCAAACCAGCCACCCCAAATGATACGACTCTTGAAAGAGAAGGGAGGTAGCACCAGAGGAAGCCATGTTGGAAGTGGTATTTAGAGGCTAAATGCTCATAAAGTAGCAGAATAATAGACCACAAGAATGTAACCTCTGGGTAAATGCTCACTTATAATGGCTGGAGACGGCTTGAATGGGTAATGAAGAAAAACTTTA